CTATTATAACCCAAGGTATCTCTCTCGAAAAATCATCAGTATAGTTTCCTAGACCAAAGGAGATCAAATTTTCATTGTTGCTTCATACGACTCACACATATTCCTCCAGGAAATTTTGTGCTAAAAATATCTAGTATTTTGATATGAGCATTTAGAAAGAAATAGCCGTTTAACTTTGCCTTTTTGTGGTGGGGTAGAGAATCCGAACCAAATTCTTGGGAAGACGCACTTAAAGATGAATTAGAGCGTGAAAAGTATCCGCGTATGCCTTGGCATGATGTCCACTGTGCTCTTTGGGGACCGCCCTGTCGTGACATTGCAAGGCACTTTGTTCAGCGCTGGAACCATGCTAAGGTTGATTTTGTGGTACTGCTGGTATTGCTGATGCATTTCTTTTTCAATATAGTAAATTTGCTAACGTGATGAACCATTTTCTAGAGAAACAAAGCTCCAAATGAACAGACAATTCCGCTACTTATGCCTCACCACCACATGGTCCTTCCGCATTACATGGGAAGAAGTAGAGAGATGGACATTAAGAAGAAAAACAAAGAAGACAACCAGAATGGGACCAACAGAGAGAATTTTTCCTCACCATCACCGGTGCAAGATATTCCATTGCTTTGGCCTCAAGAAGCGGATGGTTTAGATGCTCCTATTTTAGACCAAAAGTTACGCGCCATGCGCTTGAATCAGAATCTTCTCAACCAGCCAACTGATGGTTTCATAGATGACCTTCATTCTAGGGATCTTAAAAGTGAAGCAAATTTAAACACGGTGACACAGTCTGGCTCAACAACTCCAAATGAATGGTCAGAAAGTTCAGACAATGGCGATCATGCTGTTGCTGCTGATGATTATGGACAAATAGGTCCTCGTACTGCATGCGAAATTCAGGTTAGCAATGCCTCTGGGATACACAAAATTTAAGTTTTAGATTTCATGATTTGCTAGGTATTAATATAGTTCTATCTAATAAATACGTAATGTGTAGGTTGTAAGAAGTGTGAGCCAGTGGTCTGCTGGGTCTAGTCAAACGGAAGAAAGCATACATAGTGCTTATTGTTCTCTCATTGAGAAGGCAGAACATTTTGTGTATATTGAGGTTCCCCACCATCCTCACTTTTCTGTTCAAAGTACTGATTTTCGGTTCTTGCATATACTGATCATTTTGCTATTTTCCATTCTGTTTGCTTCCAGAATCAATTTTTTATATCAGGTCTTTCAGGGGATGACATTATACAGAATCGTGTCCTAGAATCGTTGTACAGTCGTATTGTGCTAGCACACAAAGAACAAAAGTGTTTCAGAGTTATTGTTGTCATACCACTATTACCCGGCTTTCAGGTACCAATTATTGGTTCATTTTCTTAATATGATAGTGCATGACATTTTTCTGTGAACTTTCAGCGACATTGTTTTACCTTGCTTATAATCACTGGTGCATATATTAGGGTGGTGTGGACGATGGTGGTGCAGCTACTGTTAGAGCTATAATGCATTGGCAGTACCGGACGATTAGCTGGGGAAAACACTCAATACTGCAAAAGCTTAAAGTTAAGCTTGGTACCAAGACACATGATTACATTTCTTTCTACGGTCTGAGGACATATGGCAGACTTTTCGAAGGTGGCCCTGTGGCCACAAGTCAGGTACTTTTATGCATTACATATCATATATGCTTAAATGCTTTTGTTCTCAATTAATTGCTGAATTCCGCTTGTTGTATGTATTTACCAGGTTTATGTGCACAGCAAAGTGATGATCATAGATGATTGCATTTCCTTCATCGGATCATCTAATATTAATGACAGAAGTCTGCTTGGATCAAGAGACTCTGAGGTAAGTTTGTGTCATTTTTTAAGTAAGAAGTGTTTCAGCATGTCTATTGCACTGCGTTAGATCTTTTATTTGTGAATTCAGCTTAACTCAACTCAATTTCATAAGTAATCTAATGCTGTAGACCAGAAACGCTATCGTGTGCTGCTGATGATTGAGCATAGAAGTTGATTTTTTACTTGACATCTAGAATAATTCTGAAGAAGGTATAGTGTTTCTTAAGTTGTGTAGTACTCCCACTTCCCTAAGAATTTTTTTGCTAAAATGAGCCGTTCATACTTCCTCGATAGCTCTAGTACGCAGGAATAGTTTTCTTTAGCAGTCAGGTTCACTGTTTTCAGTAGCTGTACTTGGATAATTGTTTATTTTTTCTGAAACTCGAACCAAAAGTGATCCTTCCGACAACATTACCTATGAACAATGTCTCATTTGTTGCAGATTGGTGTGGTAATTGAGGATAAAGAGTTTTTCGAATCATCTATGAATGGACAGCCTTGGAAGGCCGGAAAATTTGCGCATAGTCTTAGGTGCTCCTTGTGGTCCGAGCACCTGGGTCTTCTTGCAGGGGAGGTTGGTAACATTGACGAAACATTCACTAAACTCTCTTTAGTTATTCGTGCATGTCTTCTTCAGATAAATATCGACATTGTTTCTTGATCCGGTATAATTTCTTCAGATACATCAAATCAATGATCCTGTATCAGACTCAACATACAAAGATCTGTGGTTAGCAACTGCAAAGGTAATAACTTGCAAGTCTCTAACAAAGGATTATGGCTATTGTTTGGTTGATCAAGTATTTTGCGATTTCTATAACTATGTCGTGTTTCTCTTTTACAGGAAAACTCAACTGTTTACCAAGATGTCTTTTCTTGCATCCCAAGTGATTCTATCCACTCAAGGTACAGTACTACCAAGGTTTATCGTCCCGCAAACAAAATTTATGTACCAACGTTTTGTATTTTCGTTTCTTTGATGTATGAACTCTTAAATCTCTACTTTTTTTTCCCATCAAACTACAGAACTGCTCTCAGGCAATGCAGGGCTCAATGGAAAGAGAAACATGGCCACACGACGATCGATTTGGGAATAGCCCCCGAGAAGCTACTACAGTCTTGTGAAGGTGGAGAGGTGAAAGAAATAGATCCGATGGAAAGGCTGAAGCATGTAAGGGGACATGTTGTTTCCTTCCCTTTAGAGTTTATGCAGCAAGAAGATTTGAGACCAGTCTTCAATGAAAGTCAATTTTACACTTCCCCTCAAGTATTTCGTTGAGCATGTAATTCCATTAGGGCTTGGAGGCACCAAAAATTTGAAATACATGTGTAAATAGTGGGAACAATTTGTTTACTTACAATTTGTGCATAATTACACACAACAATTTAGAGAGATGGTATAAAAAACACCAAATGTATATATGTACATTTCTTTTCTTTATTAGCGAGGGATCTAGATTGTGAGAAAAACTTGTGTAAGACAGTTGAACCACATGTATTGTTGACTGCTCTCACAAAACAAAGTTCTTGTGTTTTGGTGGTTGCATCCAACCCCACTAATCCCACCCCTTTGAGAGAGGAACCACGTGTACTATCTAATTGCCCTCACAAAACAGAGCCCCTGTATTTTGGTGGTCACATTTAACCCACTAATCTCACCCCTTTGAGAGAGGAACCATGGTGTATTGTCTGACTGCTCTCACAAAGCAGAGCTCCTATATTTTTGGTGGTCGCATCCAACCCCACTAACCCCACCCATTTGAGAGAGGAACCACGTGTATTGTCTGATTGCTCTCACAAAACAGATGCCCTGTATTTTGGTGGTCACATCCAACCCCACTAATCCCACCTCCTTGCAAGAGGAACCACGTGTATAGTCTGATTGCTCTCACAAAACAGAGCCCCTGTATTTTGGTGGTTGCATTCAAACACACTAATCCCAACCCTATTGCGGTAACCTTTATGAAGTTCTTTTCTAGATTGTTTATGAGAAAGTGCAAACTAAAACTTTTAATAAAACAATTCTAGCCATTCCAAAATTACTTTCAAAATGACCCCAAGTGTCTTATAACATCTTTAACTTACGAGCAAGCACCTGTTAGGGTAAGTAAACGAATAAAATATTATGAATCAAGAATTTTCAATTAGAACATCATCACCAGGATAAAAACTACTCATCTTCCTTCTGGTTGAAAACTCATCATATTTGGAAAGAGTGCTGCTAAACCCACCTTAATGTCTTATCTCACCCACATTATAATCTCACCACCACAAAAAGTTAAAATTTTGAAATGCTATTTTCTCATCCCCTATTATTCCCAAAACAACCTCTAATATATATCTAAATTCTTTTGTAAATTAAAAAATAAATATTAGAGTGCTAATATGCCCAACCGGGCCTCCACTCACCGCGAAGGACTCTTCCCGATTTTTATTCCGGTTAGAATTCCAAAATTTGATCACTCTCCAAATCTTCAGCCGATTGCAACCCTTTTTTCTTCCCTCCCTCCAGATCTCCAACGCAACCCTCTTCCCTCCCACTTCCAAATCCCACGACCAAGCCCCATGCCGCATTCCCAAACTTTTGTCCTCATACTGTCATACACCATTTCCAAATTCGCGACAACCCAATCCCACCCCCTCCAAGCCCAATTCCTTCCTCTAGTCTCCCATTTCATTTTTTAAAATTTTTAAAGAATTATGTCATTATTAAAAGGAAACTTTAACGAAAAGTTCTCGGTACTATTCACTTTAACGAAAAACTACATTTTTATACTAAAAAGTCAAAGGAAAACTAATGAAAAGGGCTTGAAAACTTTGAGTTTTAATAATAAGGACAAAATAAAAGGTAAAGTGAATAGTAGCAGGTTTGACTTTTTAGTGTAAAAATGTGGTTTTTCGTTAAAATGAACCGTACCGTGGGCTTTTCGTTAAAACTCCCAAAAGTCAATCCTAGTACTATTCATTTTACCCTTTATTTTGTCCTTATCATTAAAACTCTCAAGCCATTTTCATTAATTTTTCTTTATTATTAAAATGCTTTGAACAACTACTATATATGATTAAACTAAGGGAATAGAAAGAAAAAAAACTAGAAAAAATAGAAAATGAAGAAGATGTTTATTTGGAGAAATTGAGATACTTGCAGACAGATGGTGAACAAAGAAAGAGAATTTTTCTTTTTCTTTTTTATTGCTTTGGTCCTTAGATATCCTTTTACAATAAGATAAAATTAGTATTAAAATTATTAAAAAGCGGTGGGAAGAAAAATAGGTGGGGTAGATTTATCAGCACTCTTCGGAAACCAAGCATCAGAACATATGCTAATGCTCATAAATTACATAACATACTACAAACTTTAAATTCAAAGTCCCTCAAGTGCTTTATAATTTTGTGGAACTCTTCTCAGAGAGGTCTGAGTCTACCTTCTTGCATAGTTCCTCAAAGAAGGTGACTGGGTGAGACCATCAGGAGCAACTGTTGTGTTTTGGTTTCCATTCTTCTGTTGCATCCTCCTCCTAGCCATGTAACCTCGAATCCACGGCGTCACGTCCTCGCTGAACTTGATCATGATAAAGAAGATGATCCGGTACACAACAATCATGCTCAAGATCACACTCAGGTCTATCCATTTTGATCTCGCGGTGTTAATCTGGAACACATTTTCCAGGATGTACTCGCCGGGTATCTTGGGAAGATGATCCGGTGTGTCGTTGTCGAACAATAAGCCGCTCAGGTCGTTCTGATATTGTCCCTGAAGGTGAAACATGTTCATAGACATCAGTTGTTTGAAGCACAATTCACTGCAAGTAATTGTCTACCAGTAAATGTTGTGTTTTTACCTGTAAGGCCCAGAAGTGGAAGCTGATGTATGACATAGGATAACGCCAGACGAGTTTTGGGATGTCATTTGGAAGCCTGAAGTACCCGGAGACTAGCATGAAGATACCCTGACATGTGAAGAAAACCATACAATTCATCAAACATTGTCCAAGAATACGAAAAATGATATGTTCCGATTTTGAAAAACTTCGATTGTTACAGACCTGAATTCCAGCCCCTATGATAATGCCCATGAGGAAGTTGGGGACAACGCTGGCTATCGCCATCATCAAGCTCTCAACGACGGTGACACTTGCATAAAGGCACAACACAAAGAAGAGATAATGCTCGAAGCCCGGGTGGAGCCGGACCATGAAGTAACAAACAGTACCGGCAAGAAAGGTAATAAGTATCAGGAATGGCATTGCAGAGAATGTGTTGCTGATCACAAATGCAGTAACGCCGTAGTGGCCATTCAGCCTCTCTCTTTGGAAAACCTGGGTTGGTGGTGAATAATTAGACTACTAAAAATATAAGTAAATATTTAGGGTCTTTTCGCATGGGGCGAACTGGCGAAGGGTCTAAGGAACAAACCTTCATATCCTCTATGAAAGAAGGAAACCCGCCAATTGACATGAACGTGACAAAACCGAAGACGAAAGATGCACATGAACCCCTTGCCTGTCACATAATGAAAGAGGAGAAACTATTAGTGCCTGAATGAACTTGGGACTTCAGATAGATAGTTCCGCTTTGCAAATAATACATACCAGAATCGAACTGTAACCCGTTCCCACATTCAAATAGATGGTTCCGATACAAACTGTGACGACAATGTAAATGACAAGCCTGAGCCAGTAGTATCCAAAGTCCCTTGACATGTTGATAAATGAACGCTTGGTCAATTGGAAGGCCTGCATAAAAAAACTAGCCTGACTTCCTCCAGAATCTAGCACAGTTCCTTTCTGCATCATATGGCAAAAGAAACATCAGTCAGAGTAATCGAATTAATGACCAACTAGTTACAAATCAGGGTGTATCTAAACACTTACAACTTTTGATATCTCCTCAACTTTTTCTCTAGCTGCGTACGAGTATTGAGAAGAACGATAGGAATTAATCAGAACTCTTATAGCTTCAGCAGTGGTCATCTTCTCCAACGGATCATCACTTGCCTCAAACTGATAACAGCAAAACAAAAAAGTTTTGAATTTTATCAGAAGACCGAAACTATGGCTACAAAGTGTGAACAAAGAGAACAGCAAAAACAAGCTAACAATAACATTTAAAGTAACATAATATAGAGATAGAGAAGAGAAAGTACTATACATACATACCCTGAGTTTCATGGACCCTTTGAGTGTGGCCTTTACTTTGTCGAAGTCGGAGTTTATGCATCTAAGAAAATGATCAGATGGGTTCCTCAAAGCAGGGCAGGGAAAGCCGGATTGTGCAAAGAACTGAAAAAACCGACCAATGTGTCCGTAAGAGCTCTGTTATATTTACATAAAATCAACAAATAGATGTTCATAATGCGAAGACTGAGGCTTCTTGCCTCGTATGCATCCGCCGCCTGACCAAAATAGACAGTTTTGCCACTAGAAAGCAAGTACAGTTGATCAAACAGTTCAAAGACTTCACTACTAGGCTGGTGAATTGAGGCTATAACAGTCCTTCCGTCTCGTGCCAGGGCACGTAATGTCTGAGTCACGAAAAACGCCGAAGCACTGCCACAAAAAACCAAATGATCATTAAGATTTAACTCTATAACATAATAATGAAAGCACTTCAAACCAGTTAAATGAAGGCATACAAACCTATCAAGTCCACTTGTTGGCTCATCAAGGAAGAGAAGTCTAGGCCTCGTCAAGATTTCAAGAGCAATGCTGACTCTTCTCTTCTCTCCCCCACTGATCCCACGCAAATGCCAATTTCCGATAACAGTGTCGGCGCAATCCTGCAGACCCATCTCTATGATTGTACTCTCAATCAGTGCCCTCTTTTCCGACCAAGCCATCTTATCCGGCAGCCTCAGTCTTGCCGAATACGAAATTGTTTCTCGTACCGTTAAAGTTCCAATCAAGTTGTCATCTTGGGTTACATAGGCCTGTTTAAATTTACACCACATATGCAAAAAAACATCATCAATATGTTACATCTAGAAATTTGCCTGGCGCTTGATCAAACATAAAAGTACTAGCGCCTATTTGGGACTGCTTCAGAAAGAACAAAAAACACTTTCGGGCAGACGAATTTTTTTTACTACGTTTGACAAAAAGAAAAAACTTTAAAGTGTTTTTGGGTCATAGAAGCACTTTAGGGTTTAGTGAAGCTCTTTCTGGCTAGGTGTTTTTTCCGGAAAGAACTTGGATTTCTAACAAAAATTTCAAGGTGTTATTAACAAAAGAACTTTTAGCAAAAACGCTTATGAGTAAAAGTGCTTCCTCAATAAACACTCCCAAATAAACCTAAAGCAAACAGCTCAAAATCAAGTAAACGAAAAAGATAATGATCAAATTCCTTAATAAACACACCCAGATGTCCGTTGTTTATCATCACCAACAACACGTATCGACATGTTATGTTATGAATACATTTCCGACAATATCTATATAAAATTAAAGAGAGACAGAGATTGCTACTCACAGCAGTGCCAAAAGAGAGCTTCCGTTTGCGGCCATTGAGAAGTATAGTCCCAGAAAGGAAAGCATTGGCGGCCAACCGACTGGAGAGAGCATCAAGCAAAGTCGATTTTCCAGAACCAGAAGGCCCCATGAGAGCCGTAAAAGTTCCAGGCTCAGCATAACCAGTCAAACCCTCCAAAACCTTCTGCGTCTCGCCGTTGTTCAGAGTCACCATCACCGTCAGATCTTTCCACGTCAGCCTGGCAGACACATCCCCAACAATCTCCAAACCTGGCTTCTCCCTCCACAGAGTCTCACTCAGAGGGCTCAGCCCTCCGGCCACAACCCCGGAGGGCTTGCCTGCTTCTATCTCCATCACTGCTGCGGCCACCGGTGAGCTCCTTGTCTTCTCGTCGTATGCCACGTTAACTAATTTCTCGGTAGCTCGCTCGGCTAGCTCGAACTATAACCGATCAGTCCTTCAAAAAACAGCTCAATCACGATATTGCACACAACCCAGAAGAGATTTATAGTCGTGTTTACGGAAGAAGACGAGGAATCAAAGATGTGAGTGAAGAAATGAGAAATGTGTGAATTTGACTGACAGGTGGTTGCAAAGCATGGAAATTTGAATTCCCATGCAAAACGAGCCCGTTCAAAGTATGAATCTTTTGGTATCACAAACTGCTTAAAAGAAAGGAATTAAATTTATTTTGGTGTGGTTTTCCATTTCTGATTGAGAGAGTTTGAATCTTTGAATTCTGAGAGGTGGTTGTGGGGAGAAGAAGAAGATCCATACAGCTATATTTTTTGTTCTGCAATTAATGGGTTCTGGTGGCATTTTGGTAGGAGCATTTAATACAAGGAACCACTACTACCAGAACCGACCCCCAATATTAACATTTGGCACTCCTCAACATTGTCACACATAACCATCTGTTTTTTGAAACGCTACTACACTTACCATTTAATTGTATCATTCCGCCAATACATGTGGATCTCATATTTATTAGAGAAATGATATAAATAGATCGTAAGTATAGCATTTTTGCTGTTTTTTAATTTTTTTGTGTATATTGAATTTAGTTCACCACATGAAAAATTATCGCAAATTGCTATTGTATTTCGATGAGTGTGATTTAATGAAGTTTACCAATCTTTTTTTCTTTTTTTTTCTTTTTTTTTTTTGGTATATTGAATTTAGTCCTACTTGGTGTAAGAACTGGCATAATTAGTCTTATTAAAAATTATGTTGTCATTTTAACAGTGTGACGATCATATGATAGTCTTATTAAAATTAAAGTAAATTGTGGTAACGGTCTCTCAATTTTAATCAAATTGGAGCAATGATCCATCAATTAAAAATTCATTATCATTGGTCCCTCAACTCATCAAAATGTGTAGCTATGGTCCTGTTCGTCAACTTCGTTAGAATTTTGTCAAAATAAGTTATGTTGGAAGAACCGTTGCTACAATTAGAGTCAATCAACTCATCAAAACGTGTATATATGGTCTTTTTCGTCAACTTCGTCAGAATTTTGTCAAAATGAGTTATGTTTGAAGGACTATTGCTATAATTGGTTAATATTGATGGATCATTACTCCAATTGGGTTAAAGTTGAGGGACAATTTCTCCGGTTGGATTAAAGTTAAGAGGTCAATGGTAATGAATTTTTAGTTGAATGACCATGACCGCACGTTTTGATGAGTTGAGAGACCAATGTTAATGAATTTTTAGTTAAGAGATTATTACTTCAATTAAGTTAAAGTTAAATGATCATTACTACAATCTTGTCGTTTTAACACGATCATACTGAAAAATTAATAGTAAGTGGCGATATCATACTAGCTAGGGCATGGGCATGGGCGTGCATGTGCGTTAATGTGAAAGCTCCTCAATCAATGACAGTCACAACCGTCCGCCTATAGGTGACGGTGCCTTGGTATTGCTTGGTTTATACATAACGACGAGTCACAAACTGCTTTAATTGTGCATTCCTTCCTTCTTCAACCTTCAACCACCTCAACAGGAAGATAAAGAGAAAGAGCTCCTCTCAATCGTCATGGGCATTGCCGCATAAGACACATATGATCTCATCTCGTCCTACTTTGGCCCTCTTCAATGAGGATTGACATCCGTTCTGAATTTCTGTGTTGGAGTTCCTGGATCGAAAAGATCCGGATCACTCAATTTCAATCATATACTCTCTATAACACTATCTCATTGACGCACTTCACAAAAACTCAAAAAATTGAAATGCTATCTCTTCTTCTTCTTTTTTCTTAAATCATCTGAATTTTTGATCCACAGGCTCGAGTGAACCCAAATGCCTTCAATGGGACTCCATCCCATTAATAAATGGATAGAGCTTCGTTGCGGAAAAGATCAGCAGCTACTACTTATGCTCAATCATGGTTGGACAAGTGTCCAAATTTTGATTAAATAATTAAAATTTGGACACGTGTCCAGTCATAATTGAGCATAAGCAGCAGCCAAGTCCAATTCTTAATAAATAAAACAGTTTGGTGGTGGGGGGTCCAATTTCTCAAACTAGTCTGGTAGGCAGAGGTTGTGATAGTCGGGGGATTAATTCCTTTTCTTTCCTATTGGCACCTCACTATTTTGTCTTGTTTGTTTCAATTGACGTACTAATTTTCTTTTTTTTTTTTACTTCTAAGTTCTAACTAAACAGCACTTCTGTTCATTTGCAATGTAGCAATTTTGTATCTTTCCGCCGTACCCATCAGCTACCATTTTAGTTTCATAAAGTCGTAGAGATCTAAAACTCTTAAGTTTCATAAAGTATAGAGATTTGAAACTATGTATTTAGGGTTTTTTTTTTCTTTGATCCACTACGGTTCAAATTCTCTCTTTTCAATGTAGAATATTGTTTGTATTAAAAATTAGAAAAAAATTATTTTTATGATCTGTCTTATATTGTTCCACTTAATAGTACGGTCTGATGGTATTCCTCTTCATTTGAAAGTGAGAGGCCTTAGGTTCAAATCTCGTGGATGGCGAATTCGATACCAAATTAGGTTGCACATTGAATGGCTTAGCTGAACTCCTCCTCCTCTTAGTGTAAAAATATCGATGTACTAATAAAAAAAATGTAAAAAAAAAAAAAAAAACCCACCTCCTAATTATGTATATTTTTATAACTTCTCTTAAACTCCTGGTTTATTCTCATACACACTTTCTTCAAGCCCTCAAACCTAAAAGCTTTGTTTAAGGGGCAAGCGGTCATCAAAAATCTATTCTGTTCGGTAAAACTTGCTTATCGCGGATTAGTGCATTTATGCGCCGCAAGCGTCCTTAAGTCAAATACACAAGTTGATCTTTCTGGTTGGAGATATTTTTCAGTGTGAACAGTACACAAGTTGATCTTTCTGGTTGAAGATATTTTTCAGTGTGACCGGTACACGGGGTGATACACTACGTGTTATTATACAAATGATGAGATATGTGTGTTAAAAAGTTAATAACTTAAAAAATAAAAAATTTCACTATTTATATAATAGTACGTAGTGTACCATCAGTCTTTCTGTCACAAAAAAAAAAAAATTCTCATCTGATTTAGGTTGCATTCATTTTGACATGTGAGAAGGGCTAACATCCCTAGTGGATTGGGCTTGGGAATGCTAAGGTTTAAGCTCAAGCATGTCGAAAATAACACTTTCAAATTTCTTCTCCCAGCTCGATAGTGACGGCGCCGATGGTTCTCCACTACCGCTGCCGCCATCATGGGAGTTGGGGTGGGAGTTTGTGAGGGGGCGGACGATAATTTTATTTTTTTATTTTTTTTTGGAAAAAGGAAAAAGAATGAGTTTTTGGTAATAAAAAAAATTAAATAATAAATAAAAAAGAATGAGTTTAAGTCCAAATAAGTTCGGACTGATTTGGGCAAAACCTATTGAAACCGACGATTCGATTTCATAAAAGCCCAAAACAAAAACACAAAAAAACGAGGTAGGCGGTACGCGGTAGGCCTACTGCTGTTTTGTACAGAGCAGCTACTACCAGTATTCGAATGGTGTTTGAGGAAAGATACAAATTTGCTACATTCCTTCACCTCCTCGTACAGAAAGCTCCCGCCCTTGAAAAACCAAAGAACTTTAAGGTCTGTGACTTTCGTATCGGTTTCTTTTCTTAAAGTTTGGATCTTTTTTACTACATTTTGTTTGAATTTGGGTATCTGGGTATGGTTGATTTGTTAATATGTATCATTCTGTAACTTGATTTTGTGCTGATTTGAATTGGGTGAATGGATTGAAGGAGAAAGATGCGATCTTTTATCTGCATTTGGTTTGAATTGCAATTTTTGAGATGGGTTTTCTGCTAAATTGTTCTTGCCGTCATGAATTTATTTTTTCTTTCTGAATATATGCTTTCTGACTTCTGGGAATATTTTGAAGTGTAAATATATGCTTTCTGTTCTTTGTTAAGTGTGATGTAAAAGATTAAAATTAGTGTTAACCCCATCTTTTCTTATTTTTCATATTTTTGCTTCTTTTGATAGGTTGTTAAAACTGTAAAAAGTTCCAAGTTATAGTTCAAAATTTCAAATGGTTGCATTTTGGTACTTTTTAGTAATTAATTGCATGCAGTCGTCATATTTCAGGTGAGATTTGGATGCTTTTTTTGAAGCTAGCGAGTTTAGTTCATGGCATCATCTGAAATAAAATCTGGGGCATTGGTTACACTGCAAGACCTGCACCCATCTTCCTCGTACTTCAAGCAAGGAGCTTCACTACGAGTAACCGGAAGGTAAGACTTCTGCCCTTCCAATTTTTAGTGGTCCTTTTCAATTGCATCGTGTAAATATTGATTGTGTTCCTCTTTTATTTGCTTTCGAATTATCAGTAACGAATTAAATCCCTGAGTTTTAAACTTGGAAGGTTTGAAACTTACAGATTCAATTCTTTGAGTTTGATCTCATAACTCTATTTATAGTGGCTTAATAGGGTACACGTAGTTTATAGCTAACGCGGGTTCTGTTGGTCTTGCGGACGAGGAAAACTTGCCTATCGCGGGATCTACATTCCCATGTTACTATAGCTCTCAATGTACTATGTCACGTGATGTAAGCTAGATGAACACGCGGATCTGCACCCCGCTACAGGGAGTTCTTGTCCTTGGGGACAGCCTTTGCATCACAATGGTGACAAGATAGATGGAGATGAGGGGAAGAAAAGAAAGATAAACTAGAGGTGGAGTATATCATACGGACTATGTAGATATGATAGTTTCGGCATTTTCGGTGCTGTGACAACATTGCTCGGAACAATTGTGGTTTGATTTAGATTTAGTTAGATGATCGTCAAGATGGTAGTGTCGGAAAGGATGCAGAACTGTCCGAGAAGATATTCTTGAGGCGAATGTGGCATCTCCGGTTGGTGCATTGAGGAGGATGCATATAGTACATTGGTAGCATGATGTGCATGAAGTAGACAATGTGAACCAAGTGCATTTCTTATATTTATTCTTCAATATCATTAAGAAGCTTATGAATATTCATAGGTTACAAGATTATTCTGTAGAGACAGCCATTGCCACAATTGTCGATGGAAGTGAGAGATTAAAAATCAACACTCAGCACCTTCGGGAGCTTAGTTTTCGAGTTGGATCTGTCTACCAGTTCATCGGCGAGCTGCTTATTCAACCGGACAATGAGGTAAGTGGTAAATTACAATTACATTCACTTGATGATTTTTGGTGCCGGTCTTTTTTACGAGTCACAACATATGAATGTGAAAGCAATAAAGCTCAAGTGTTCTTGTTCTTCTTTTTTCTCAGGCAGTATTGCAGGCACGTGTGGGTAGGAATGTCGACGGCATGGATCTCAATCTTTATCATCAGTCTCTTCAATTGTTAAGACAATTTCAGGCCAATCATTTGAAGAACCCAGCAGTTTAGGTATTCCGCAGTAGTTTGAATGAGTGTGATACTCATATAGAGGAATCAAGCAGCCTGAGTTTGATACCTATAACATGCATTAGTGTGAGTTCGATAACTGTGAGAGTCATACTTTAGAACCTAGTAGTTTATAAGGTATCACGCTCAAATTTTCTGGCCAACTATAAGAGTGTGATTCCTATGTTAACTTAATATATTAGCATCATACTCACTTTTTCGAGCCTACCAAGGAAGGCCTTAATACAACTGTACTTTTGGAAAGGCTCATGTGGAGATTTTAAAGCTTATAATATTTTGAAATTTCTCATCTTCCCCTCTATATTATATGAATTAGAAAACTCTTTAGAAATCTTACATTTTGGTGTCACTCTCCATGCACGTCTTTGTTGAGACGAACTTTACCTATACTTGGTATGCCATAATGCTAATATTATAAGTCAATAATGCACTGTCATTTAGTAAAAATTATAATACATGGTACTGTATAATTGATCTAAAATACCTCCACAATTGCATCCCTAGGTATAATTAAGTTTCACCTGCCTTAACGAGCATTCTTTTCGTGAGAAATGATTGTCACACACGTCTCTCACGTCTTTTCTTCTTTTACACCTTCTCTATTTTTTTTATTCTCTTTCAAGTATTCAATTCAAATGTTGTAAATAAACAGGGTCTGCAATCGAGATAAGGAGTATGTGGAAATCGTCCCTCACTTTTTCAATTGCAAATTTAATTGAAAGACCAAGTCACCCCCAACATCCAACCAATCAAACGATGCAGATAGACATTCTAATGAACTTCGTGCGACAATCATTACCACCCCACTTCATAATTTAAACAAACATAATTGGGCCCATATATTTTTAAAGAACATTGTTCGCACAACGATCAAATTTTCTGCATCTAAAATCGATTCTGTTTTGTTGCGGCCTCAATTAGTTTTTGACATTTATTAAGTTTATAATAATAAAATTTTAAAATATTAGATTTATAAATTGGAGTCACAGAAATATCGCATCTATTTCGAACGTAAAAGATTTGATCTCGTTCGGAGGTCCGTGCATGGCCAAAGTCCTTCACCCACCTTTAACGTATTCTCTGGAAGCTTAGCATTGCACGTCGCTATCGAGGGCGCCGCCCCACACATGATTGTTGGCTCTTACGTGGCAGCTGTTGGTTTGTTGGAATTCAGGCGGTGCTGGACCCCAGGTAATCGTTGCTCCTTTGCACCGAGTCACCGACCTCATCATCTTCGTTAACAGTGAGGAGCAAAGGATAATGTTGCAAAGTATCACGTGTGAAACAGCAGCAAGGCGATAATCTTGTGTCTCATGCTCTGAGACGTGATATTGAATTTAGGATTCGAATTCTAGGAGGTTCTAATATTAAGAGTAAATTATAGTAATGATTTTTTAATTTTAATAAAATTAGAGTAATAGTTTCTCGATTAAAAATTCATTATTATTGGTTCCTCAATTTATCAAAATATGTAGCTATGGTCATTTTCGTCAACTTCGTTAGAATTTTGTCAAAATAAGTTATGTTGGAATAACCATTGCTACAATTGGGGTCCCTCAACTTATCAAAATGTGTAGGTATGGTCTTTTTCGTCAACTTCGTCATAATTTTGTTAAAATGAGTTATGTGGGAATGACCATTGCTACAATTAGGCTAAAGTTGAGGTATCATTGCTCCAATTTGGTTAAAGTTGAGGGACTATTTCTCCAATTGGATTAAAGTTGAGAGACTAATGGTAATAGATTTTTAGTTGAGAGACCATAGATGCACGTTTTGATGAGTTAAGGGATCAATAGTAATGGATTTTTAGTTGATGGATTATTGCTCCAATTGAGTTAAAGTTAAGAGATCATCGCTATAATTTACTCTAATATTAATGGTATAAGTTTTTAGATAGAAGCAAAGTACAGAGCTCATGAAAACAAAAATCAGTTTCCTAATTGATGCATTTCGTCAAACACTTAGCGAGTTTTTTGTATCATCCAAATTATGTTACGCACATGTCAACACTCAATATATGTCGAAAGCAATTTGCCGAATGATGTCAAGAGAAAACTTAATATGTCAAGATATCCTTAGCATACATTACATTAAGTATTTAGTGAGCATACAAGGGATTCATACCAAACATTCGGAGAATCCTCAAATGACCTTCATATGTATATTTCTTGAATTCAGAATGATCTTGGAACCAGCTTGATCCAATGTACATCCGCCACTGCTTAGTACTTTGAATGTTTTATTTATTAAATTTTTATGTAATAGTACAATAATTAAGATTAAAATCTCGCAGTACAAAGGACTCTGAAGCACCCAAAAGTTTTGGCTCATGCTCATCCTATTCATGCAGTACAATAAATGGACTCGTTCGAATGAAAATACCTTCTTCTATTTTCCCCCTCCAATAATAAAATTTTGGTAAGAATATTCTGGAGTTCAGATTTAATATATAAATTTGTTTCCCTTTGAATAAAAAATATTATCTACAAGAGGGGATGTGTTTAGTCTCACAATAGGCTAGCAATAATGTGGTTCAAAATTCACTTTTAGCAAAAGTCGAATCTAAAACCTCTCACTTACTAATTAAGATGAATATCACTAGACCGTAGTACTAAGTGATATATTTCATATATAAAGATATGCTCCAAAACCTAAACTTTGATTACTAGAAAATCACCGTTTAAAATGAAGATAATTACTGAACCACATTATTATTAGCTCATTGTGAGGCTAAATCAACCATCTCCCCTTAGTGTAGATAATATCGATGGTTCAAAAAGAAAAATGAAGATAATTACTAGAAAATCACCATTGGAACTTGGAAATGAAGATAATTACTAGAAACTTACCGTTTAAAACGAAGAGTTAAGTGCTAGATGATTAGTTGGTCTACAAATATTTTACTCTTATTAATTAAAAACATCTTAGTTCAAATATCATAGACAATAATTGTGAGTATTAAAACACGCATTGGGTTGCATATAACTAACACAAGTATGAGGAATTATGACATACAGTCATGAGAAGTGAGAACACCCATATTAGGGTTGGTTTGGAATTGTGGTGTTTTTAAAATAAAATAAAAAACAACTTATTAAAAAACTAATGTCAATGAAAGTAGAAAATCATAGAAAAATAGAAGCAGAGTCTACCATGTTTTTTAAAAAATGTTTTTTTCTTTCAAAACTTAGTAATCAATGCTCATTTGATGAACTTTTTAAATGACAAGTATACCCCCACATGTTTAACAAAATTACAATTTTTACCCTTACATTATTGTTTTTTACAATTATTATATCACATTAAATACTATATCTTTTTTAGTCATTTAACATATTCAAATTAATTTATATAAAAGTTTACCAAACACTTAGACATTGCTTTTTTTTATTAAAAGCACTTTTACAAAAAAAAATTTATCAAACACTTAACAACTTTATTTTACAGCTGTTTATTCTCACATCACAGCAAAAACAATTTTTTTTAAAATGCACATTAATACCAAACTAGCCCTTAGTCACATGAAAGTCGTGTAATAGGAGAGATATCACGGAAACAAAAAGCTTTGGTTACATTTATAACGTCAAATCACGTAATAAGAAATAATAACATACTAATACGCCTATTGTTACATTGCATAATTCCCTCGCATAGGTAGTAAGAGAAATAATAACATGAAATATAGTAAGATCAATTGACATGAAATACACATGTCTGCCTTTTCTTTTTAGAAAATTTATTCATTACCAAATTCATCATATCCTTCGTTAAACTCGAAACAAACGAAAAAGAACGAAAGACAAGAACATAAATTATGAATCAACTAAGCCCCTCGTAAGAATCTCCCAACAATAATGTGGTGAGACATTGAAGATGGGGCCACTTACCCAAGTTCATACGGTAAAAAGTTGTTGCCACCAAATATTCACCAACAATTTCGTATGGTGCAGATAAGCCTTGCTGACTATATAATACAACGATTAATCCACGATCATGAATTTCCTTGGACCGACAATATTATGGAAAATCTTAGTCCACTATTTGAGAGGAAAGGGCAGACATCACTGAGAGAAACCAATGAACCATGGTCAAATCACCATCATATTCCACCAGGATATAGGTAGGGTTATATGATAATAATTACGTTTTTTGGAAGAGCAACTTGTGTGTTATTAATTCACCACCATACTACATTTCAGATTAAAATACAAAGTAATATGATAAGAAATTTAACTTGATATTCAAGGGCGAATATATATTAGGATCTAGGTGGCATTGGGACCATTTAGAATTTGGAAAAATTACATGTGTAGGTCTTTTGAGAACTTTTTGAATGTTTGGTACGAGTTATTTTAGTATTTACCGAGTGTTTGATGTAATGCCTTTTAGATATATCTCGACATATTGCTTTGATAGCACTCGACAAATTACCTTGATATCACTCATCAAATTGTTTCTTCAGGAAGAGGATCCTCTCCGGATCCACTTTGTGAGGATCCTAGAGATCCTTACATCCTAGCCATTCATCATACATCGTACGGCCAGTTTTTGTCAGGTACTATTTGTGTTTAATTTTAGGGTAAATTACATAAAACTACCTCAACTATTGGGTCAGTCATAGTTTCATTCCCCGTCTTTAAAAAAATTCAATGTCTACCTTATCTTCGAATTTGTTGCAATGTCATACCTTCTATCAGTTGTCTGTCAATTCCTCTCTTAAAATTTGATGTGGCTTGAGGCGGGACCCTCTTTTTATTAAAAAATTAATTAAATATTAACTAAATTAAATTTATTTAAAAAAAAAAAAACCAAACCCACAAATCTTCCCCATCGACCCGTGCCTCCTCCCCCAAAAAACCTTCCTTCACCACCCCACCGCCGCCTCTCTTCCTCCATCTTCACCACCCCACTGCTACTTAATCTCTTATCCTAAGCCACTGACGTGCCGACCTCGAGCGAACCAAAAAGATCCTTGATTGCAAACGAAGCCACCTCCCGGGTTAGGGTCAACGCCATCGTTTTAGGCGTCCAGGTGCAGATCGTTGGAGGGAAGGGGGTCGTCGGAGAAGGCCGACTTGAAGAAATCCATGGGTGCAGACCGACTTGAAGATTTGGGTGTAGGATAGGAGGAGAGAGGGTTGGGTGGGACGCGGTGGAGATAAGGTAGGAGGGTGCTGGGAAGTTTCACAGGGGTGGGGGGGGGAGGGGGAATCCATGGGTGCAGATCTGGGTGTAGGATTGGAGGAGAGAGGGTTGGGTGGGAACGCCGAAGGGGAAGTTTCCGACGGGGTGTGGGGGGGATCTGGGTGTGGGTTTGATTTTTTTTTGGTTTTGCTGCTTTTTTTTTTTTTTTAATAAAAGTGGGTCTCATTTCAAGTTACGTCAACATTTAACCGAGGAATTTACAAACAACTGACGGAATGTATGACATTGCAACAAATTCGAATATAAGGTATGACATTGAAATTTTTTAAAGACGAGGTATGAAATTGTGACTGACCCAATAGTTGAGGTAGTTTTATGTAATTTACCCTTAATTTTAAATAAAAAAAATCAAATGATTTCTGACCGTACGATGAATGACTAAGCTATAAGGATCCCTTGGATCCCTACAATTTGAATCCGGATGAAATCCATATTTGTTTCTCCATATGTCGATATTGTTGACAGATTACATTGTAACGGTCTCTTACTCTCTTACTTTTTAGGACGTTTCTCCATATGTCGATATTGTTGACAGATGTGATCATGTTACATCGTAACGGTCTCTTACTCTCTTACTTTTTAGGACATCGATATATTTCATGTGATAGATAGATTTCATGTGATAGCTAGATTTTCATGTGATAGCTATATTATTGGTTAGTTGTGCAACATTTTCTTCCTTTTGGTAAGCCCTGCCATTGAGTGCTTTCCTTTCACACTTGAATAATAAGTTTGTTTTCTGTGGAAGTTGTTCTTGTTTTTACCTAACCTATAATATATTGAAAATGTTGAAAAGGAACTTACCAGTTACCACAACGGGAAAATAAAAAAGGTATTTTGATTCTGGTTAAAAAATTCGAGCAGTTGTAGAATTTAGTCCAGTTTTTTTTACCTTTCAACTTTAATTAAATTTCTAAATTTATGCATTTTTACTCAAATTGTTAATTTAAATATGAAAATCTACGATCTAATGGTATTCCTCTCCACTTGTTAGTGAGGGAAACCACATTACTGCTACCTCATTGTGAGGCTAAGCCGACCCCATTTGTTAGGTTATATGTTAGATTAGGTAGCCGACAATATTTGAATCCACGCCGTGGTGTAAGAGCAACACTCATTTTTACCAGTGTGGTAGAGACCCACATAATTCAAATAAATTTCATTCCATATATTTATAAATCCATACTAGTGTACATATCCAGATATATAGTACATACAAAGTAGATCAGCTAACACAGTTAACGTGGAATGGAATAGAAGAAAAAAATTGAAATGCAAATTAATAAATGAAAAAAGAAAACAAAGTGGACTAAACACAATAGTGATTCACAAAATTGAACTTATATCAAGTTTACTCGATAAAGAAATGAATGCATTCATTTCTTCTATATATATGGTATATTAAAATGAATAATTTTGTTTAATTGAAACTTTGTATGGTTTTACATAATTGGAATGTGACAATTTATAATCAACACTTATTTGACTAAGCTCTCTGCTAGCCAACCCCAACAAACTCGGTGATTACTAGATACTCGTAACTATTTGAGTTACAAACCTGTAAAAACTCTTAATGTTTTGTATTTTGACAAGGTCTTAGAGCCATGCTAGTTTTAAAATAAATTATCATAACAAATTTAATAATCAGATTTGTAAATTATTTAAGAATGTGGTATATTGTTAATGATTTTCATGAAATTAAAAACTTAGTTGACTACCTCATGGGCGAATAATTTTCCTAAGCACTTTAAAATTACAGAACAAAACTTAAAAAATGAGCATTACGTATTCAGTAGTTAAATTAGCTAATTATATCTTGAGCTAATGTAATTATTATTTTTCATGCTCACCTAACTATATTCATTTTTGCAGAATTAATAAATTTAACCCAATGATTACGATGGCTTACTACATATATATATATATATATATATATATATTTTTTTTTTTTTTTTTTTTTAATTTTAGACATTGCATTCGTCCATGGCTGCAGCTGGCCAAGATACAGCCATGTGTACACACGCTAGAGGACTCTTGATTGATTTTTTTTTATTTGTTTATTTTTAGAAAATGGATCAATGGATGGTTTTAACACGTTTATTCATTTTTTTAGAAGCCATAAAAACTCACAGATTTATTTCAATTTTCCCTAAATATTATCATTTGAATCACTAGAATCAAACTCAAAATATGCGATATAAAATATGAGCATAGAATTGTCCTCAACCACCGACCCATCCTGTGATCGTTGAGGACTCTTGGTTGATAGAGATGAACATATTATTCCATACTATCAAATTAGCATCGACCGTTAGCCTTATTTTTGTGTGGTTATTTAATTGCATATATGATCTGGGCATTCCATTAATTTATTTCAATCATAATTTTTGTTTAAACAATCAAATGTTCCTACATATTTTACTATATATAAACCAAGCATGAAATACTTAAATGAATGAGACATACTTGTCCTTTCTAAATCGAATTAATTTGTAAATTACAGATGCTTTTAGGTCAAGTCAAGTGGTTAAAAATATTTATTTTTGCACATGAAATTTTACGTGTGAATCATCCTTAATATCATTTGTATATATAAAAATTTACAATGATATAGAAGGTTCATTTTGAGTAATCTTTCGTGGTCAGTTTTGCATTATTATTTTTTATTAATTTTTTGTAGAAATGGATTAAACGAGATGAGCTCTTCGTCACTAGGAACCCGTGACTTTTCAGTTACAACTCACAAATGAACAATTTTTTCGTTGTGCCAAGACTCGTCCTCAAATTTAAGCATTTTTATACTACATATAATTTCTGTATATTCACAACAAAATAATTGCCTATATATTAAGAAAAAGAAGCTAAATTATACTATGGGAGCTAAAAAAGCAAAAACCCTTTTGGTTTTTTATGACGTAGACTCGTAGAGTTTGTCTTGAGGAGTAGTGTGTATTGTTTGTTTGTATACACAGCAAGCTCTGTGTGCTTTGTTATCTTCTCCTCCTCAGATTAATTATCACTTCATTTTCACCATTACCAAACAAAAACACGAACACAAATCATACGCAGAAGAGAGACGGGGTGTTATGTTATGGATTCTCATCGATCTCCGACTTCAGTTCCTAAAGTTTTCAGCTATGTTCGTCGGAATTGCGCCGGGGTCCGGTCGGATAACCAGTTTTCCGGCAACTCCGTCAAGTTCCAGCCTTCTAGCTTCTGAAAATCTCTGGTCAAACCTTGCAGGAGTTGATATCAAGGTTTCAATCTCCTCGTCTGCTTCGGTTGTTTTATTTTCCTTTCTGGTTCTTTTGTTTGGTTGCTCAGAAAATGATGACTTTTGTTTTTGGGGTAGCTTAGAAGCTCAAATTGAACTGTTTTTTGCTGCATATATGAATGTTCCTTTCTGGGTGTTGTTTGGTAACTGAGAAACTTCAAAACCCACCTTTTTTTTTTTTTTTACTCTGGTTCTCTTTAATCAAGCTCTCATCTGGGTTTCCTTAGATCGCAGTAACTTTTGTGGGGAAAGGGTTGAAAAGTTTCAAAGGGCAGAGCTTTTAGATTTTATGGATACCAAGAAAATGAAGGAAAAGATTATAAATTACTTGTTTGTTTCCAGTTTTAGAAGAGTCTTTATTTTACCTACTAATTTTTTTTTTTTAAGTTTCCTTTTTCAATTCAAGAGCCAGATTTATACGAAAGATTAGATAAGAATACGGATTTTCTCATTAAATGTTTTAGAGAAAATTCTAAATTCCATGGTGGAAGTCCATGGTGGAATTCCATGCAAGCCTGAATATTCCCTGAAATGTCCTTCCCATTCCTTTTTTTTTGTACCATTTATTTTCGTATAAAATTACGAGATTCTTTCACCTTTCCGAGTCAGATCATGTCTCTTTTCAGTCACAATACTAGCACCCAGTTCAACTTGCTCAACTTGTTCAACCTTCTGTCCTTTCTCTGAGAAGAACGTTAAATAAAATTGAAAAAAAAAATAAATTCCAAAACCTGACATGTATGTCAAGTAATTTCTTCCCTTAAGTGATGTTTAGTTGTTTTATTAATGGTCGACATTGTCCAGAGTTTTTGAGTCTACAAACACAATTGGGTTGCCTGGAGAAGTTGAATAGGTAATGGAGCAGTTATCCTCCATGTTCAGCGGGCTGGCGCGGTCGCTATCATTGAAGAAGGGGAAGAACAATGATGAGAAGTCCGGTGCAAGAGGAGCTGCAGAAGCAATGGCGAAGGAGGCGAAGAAGAATGACATGATCCTACGCTCTTCTGGGATTGTCTATGTCGATGGTTCAAATAATTTTGCTTCTGTTTTCTCGAAAAGAGGCGAGAAAGGAGTCAACCAGGATTGCTGCTTTGTGTGGGAGGTAAACAAATTTTGCTCATTTTTCTTACCTTAAGCTCCATTTTGTTGCCAATTCAGTAAATTAGTACAATACCAAATTGAATATAAAACAAACATAAATTGGATCAGCTGCTGAAGAATGTAGACATCGCATGTCAAAATTGAGTACAATATACAAGCAAGTGGTTCCACTAGTTTGTGTCTCTGAAATCTCGACATCAGCTACAACAGCCTATCTTAACTCATTTGTTTTCGTTTTAGGGATTTGGGTTCCAAGAAGATATGATGTTTTGTGGGATTTTCGACGGGCATGGTCCATGGGGACATTTTGTGGCAAAACAGATCAGAGAAACAATGCCACCCTCTCTGTTGTGCAGTTGGCAAGAGACCCTAGCTCAAACTTCTATTGTCCCGGATCCAGATTTGGATAAAAAGTGTCACCGATTTAATGTATGGAAGGATTCCTATATCAAAACTTGCGCTGCCATTGATCACGAGCTTGGACAGCATCGTAGAATCGATTCCTTTTACAGCGGAACAACTGCCCTGAGTATTGTCAGACAGGTATCGATAAATTTTCACTTGAACACTAGTTCAAATTGTTGCTAGGCTTGTAATGTAGCTGGATGTTTTCCAGAAAAATCAAGTATAAATTGATGACCTTATGCAGTTTTCATCGGCATTTACATGAAAGTATGTCCAAATTTTTGTTTCTTTAGGGCGAGCTCATTTTCATAGCAAATGTTGGCGATTCTCGCGCTGTTTTGGCCACAACTTTAGATGACGGAAGCTTGGTGCCGGTTCAGCTTACTGTCGATTTCAAGCCTAGTTTGCCTCGTCAGTCTCTATCTCTCTCCAACACATAAAACTGAAGAAAACAACATATGGTTACACATATTTACATGTTTTTAATGGTTTTGTTTGCAGAGGAGGCGGAGAGAATAATTCAAAGCAATGGACGCGTTTTCTGTTTAGATGATGAGCCGGGAGTGCAAAGGGTGTGGCAGCCGGACGGAGAGACACCAGGACTAGCAATGTCTAGAGCCTTTGGAGATTACTGTGTGAAGGACTTTGGTCTCATTTCTGTGCCTGAAGTGTCACAGAGAAATATAACAAGCAGGGATCAGTTTGTTGTGTTGGCGACTGATGGGGTATGTACTGCATTGCTCTTCCACTAAAATTCATTTTGAGAAGGGTTGGCTAAAAGCACTTTCAGATAACCAGAAGTGCTTCTAGTTACTTTTAACATAAATGCTTCAACGCGGTTTTAGCAAAATCGCTAATGAACGAAAATGTACATTTCCCACGGACTCTAAGACATTTTTGCTTGTAGGTTTGGGATGTTGTTTCAAATCAAGAAGCCGTACAGATTGTAAGCTCCACTGCAGAGCGGGGGAAGGCTGCGAAGCGTCTGGTGGAGTTCGCTGCGCGTGCATGGAAGCGCAAGAGGAGGGGAATCGCGATGGACGACATTTCTGCTATTTGCCTCTTCTTTCACTCCACTTCCCCTCTGGCTGAATCCCAGCAAGTTCACCCATTTAGTATTGCCACCCCAAAATAGCAAATGCAGAAAATCTTTGTTCCTTCTCCTTGTTTATCTTATATCTTTGTAATTTTTATTAGACTTTTATTTAGGAAATTGCGCAAGCAAGCTAAGGATGTTGGTTCGAGTTTCAATCCAACTGTTAGGTGTTTCCGTCACCTTGTTCCTAAATCAAGTCTTGAGATACAAGCAAGCACATTTAGAGTCTGATTGCAGCGTGGTAAAAGTGAAAAACTTAATAACATAGAGCCTCGAGTGCCACAAACCAAATCTAAGAAACGAACAATACGCTTTTACTATTGGGTGGTTTCACATTGTAAATACGAACACGTAGACATCGAAATTTCGATGAAATAAATGTTTATCAACACATTAAAGTTTTGACATGACAGGATTTACATGTCATGTGTCACGTGTCCCACAAATAGTACACATGGAGGTTGTTGGAGCAATATTAGAAAATATGGAAATAACACAAGAATTCCATTACTAATAATCATTAAGAAATTTTCAACATCAATTTATGTATGAGATTAACATAAACAACTAGAGAGAAAGTTAGAAAAACTGACAATCTTAGAGATTGAGGCTTGCATCAATGCAATGTCCTAAAGACAGAAATTCGCCCCTACTCTTGGAGAAATTTTTAGTTGTGACGGGAACACGAGTGGTACACCACGTGTTTTAATATGAATGATGAGAAATTGTATTTTTTAAGGTATTATTTTTAGCACACATATCCCACCATTTGTTTAGTGACACGTGGTGTACCATCAAGTGTACCACTCACACTGAAAAATCTCTCATACTCTTGTGCTTGTAGTTCAATAGGCGTTCATCTCCCAGGATTCAACAATCTATGATCCAAAGTCAAAGCACTTCAATCTTCAGACTCTGGCGAACTTCATATATTCCGTACTCTCAATACACGACTCAGATTTTTACTAAGACATTGGAGAAAACTCTTTTCTTAATTCTATTAGATAAGTGGGATGCTTGAGTTTATATAGAACTCAAGCCACCATTTTTGAAACATTATGACCGTTGCCTAAAGTTCTAATGAACAGATACAACTCATGAATTTGAATTCAACTATGATACATGACTCTTATTTTTCATTCATCAATTAATCAAGCCTACAATCAAAACTAAGACTTTTGCACTACGTTTGTGCACGCCAATGTGTTTGCACTACACTTGTGCGTATGTTTGCACATAAACATCCACACCAATAGTTGTTATCAAGACACATGAAACTTACCCAAATACCTCGCACAGTAGAACCAGTGGTCGAGCAGAGATGAAATGTAGATACAGTATTTAGTTACTGATGTAACCATCACACACAGAAATTGGTCAAGGGATCACGATTCCCTTCGTGTTATTGGGCTACCAGCGGCGTCCCAGCCATTTGTAGATTACGTCTGGTTTTGGTTGCCTGGCCCAAATAAATAAATGCGACGAGTCGTGCCGACACAAAACATAGGAACGGACACTTCACGACAGCAATAGTAAGACATCGAGGCGAGCTCGAGTGAGGTAAGCGATCAATTTTTCAGTGTGTAGGAAGGAAGGACAACGTTTCTATCTTCTTCTTTTTTTATCTTTTATTTCCTCTTCTCTTGTTTGAATGCTTAAAAAAGGAAGGGGATCATCTCCGAATTTCTTTCTCATAATTCACCAAATTAAGGGATCCGTACCTTTGAAAATTGATCCAACGGCTGAAGTTATTATAACTTTTAAAGTAAGCCCCTGTTTGTAGCCATTGAATCAAATTTCAACGTCACAAATCCTTGATTCGGTGGATTATCCTTAAGAAAAGATAAAAAAGAGAACATTAGAGAGAGAAGAAAAAAAATACAGTGAAAGGAGGAGAGGGAAAAAAGAAGAGGAGAGAATTTTATTTGTCGGAAACGCAGTTCTATATATCAACGGTTACAATATAAGTGTTTAAAATTTTTTATTTTTAAATATCTAACCAATTGTATTATCTCTACTAATTAATAAAACACTTATTGTCAACCAAAATTCTATGAAATTACCAGTTTAACCCTCTAATTAAAACATAACATGAATAAGAAATATGAGGCAGAAATGTAATTTCACACAACCAAATTTTGTTTTTTTTTTTTTAATCTCACTTAAATGTAATCCTAACATATTTCTAATTAAAAATAAAAAAACCAAAAAATAAAAAATAAAAATAAAAACTTCCCGGTCCCATATTTTCTCTCGGACTTTGTATGTACCCATATGCTAGTAATACTTAATTTAATACCGAGCAGCGTTTTAAGGACACTAAAAGGTCTATTGAGGTAAGCAACCTCGTCCATTCATGCTTGTCGAGTCCCAATAATGAACCTTATCCGAAACTCCGCTCATCTCGTTTCCCGATTATTTCCCGATATATCAGCGACAGAAAAACTGTCACTTCCCTTCATTAAACTCCGCTAATTTAGTGTCCCGAAACTCGAGAGCGACAGTACGAATTTACGGAAATTAAAGGCGTGGTGTTGGAATGGACGTGAGTACTGAGTATTCAACTAAGTTTTATGTTTTGATTTCGAATCCGTGACACCCCACGCACGTTGATAAGTTCAGAAACTACGCAAATAACCACAAGCACTTATCGATAGGCAACTGTACTTATCAGTGATAGGTCAGTAGAATGGGAAAGACTCCTGCATCGAACACAGCGAGACTTCTATAAATCTCTCTCTCTCTCTCTCTTCTCTCTCTCTCTCTCTCTCTCTGTGCAGTCTTTAAAACCCTAGAAATCCTCGAAGCGTGAGAGGCAAAATCGTCAGAAACATCGATGATTTCTGGGATCTTGAGTTTTATCTGAACTCAGGTTCGAAGCGGATCGAGTGTGTAATTTTAACGTTAATCTGTGTCTGTTTGTGTAGTGAAGGTTGAAAGGTCTGGTTTTTGTTCGGGAAAACAGAGGAATCTTTGGGGTCTGAGAGTTTGAGGATCGAAAAATGTCGTCTTTGAGCAGAGAATTGGTGTTTCTGATACTCCAATTTCTGGAGGAGGAGAAGTTCAACGAGTCCGTACACAGGTAAGCTGAAACCTTTCCCAAAATCCTATGTATACTTTCACAATTGTACACGTGTGCACGTGTGTGTGTACGGATTCACACATGCATGTACGGAAACACGTACGTTTGAGCGTGGTTTTGGATTTATGTGCTGGTTGTAAGATTTTGGTTGTTTGAAGTTTATGTCGTTAATTTTAATTTTTTATGGAAGTTGTTCGTGTTTGCTTACCCGGCCGTGGTAATCCCGGTTTAGTGGTTAAAGATGGAGATTTCAGTCCCCCGTACGGGATTAATTGAGGTTCTTACATGCATCATTGGCGTAAATTTTGAGAGATGGGATGATATGCATGTGTAAAGTCCCTTCTTTCGGTTTTTTATTGCGTTGTTTTGGTGCAAATTGCGCTGAAAATGGGGGGAGAGAGGGGTACAATTTACTTAATTTTAGGAAAATAGTAGCATTTAAGCTTAGTTGGTTAGTGAGGATTACTGGATTAGAGTCAAGGCGTCATCCGTCTCTATCTGAAATCTGAATTCATTGAATGATGAATGAGGTTGTAGTGTGAGAGAAATTGAGAAAGTAAAGAAAATATGGAAGATGAAGCTACGAATATACGGAAAACAATAATGATAGAGAAATTCATCTAAGTTGGTTTAGTAAGCTTGGTCAAGCAACCGTTTGGTTTAAATTGCGATTTAGTTTGGTAAATAATGATCACAAGATGCAACGGAAACAAACAATAACGATAGTAGAAAACGAAGGCAAGATTCACAACACTTGTTTGACAAAAATTTCAAGATGATTTCCATGTGTGTAACTGATTTTCCGCTAAAGATCTCGTATCGACATTTATTTTCTTACTTACTCTCCAAAATTGGTCTACTTTGATGTTTGTAAATTTCATTGAAAAAGTTGACAACCTTATGTTGTAGGCTTGAGAAAGAATCCGGATTCTTTTTCAACATGAAGTACTTTGAAGAGAAAATTCAGGCCGGAGAATGGGACGAAGTGGAGAAGTACTTATCAGGATTTACAAAAGTTGATGACAACAGATACTCTATGAAGATATTCTTCGAAATAAGGAAGCAGAAATATCTCGAAGCACTTGATCGGTAATCCTTAAGTCTACTTCTGTTGTTAGGCTTTCTTCGCCTAATGAAAAAAATTATCGGCTTGACTATATTCTTTTTTTCTGTTGTGTAGGCAAGACAAGCCGAAGGCTGTTGAAATCTTAGTTAGCGATTTGAGAGTGTTCTCCACCTTTAATGAAGAACTTTTCAAAGAAATCACGCAGCTTCTAACTCTTGGAAATTTCAGGTAATTCCTTGCATATATTGGGGGTATTGATATTTAGCAAAGGTTTTATGTTGATTAATGCTTCCTTCTATGATCTCGTTAACTGATGACGAAAAGTTGGAAAAAAAGGGTGAGCAAGTTACATTGCGTACTGGGGGTCAAATCTCCTTGATATTGGTTGATCTGTTCACTAAATTTCTTACTTACAAAAAAGTATTGCATTACTTGGAACCCGAGAGAACAAACCAATTGCCCAACCAAGATCAGTTAAAGCCTGCCTTGTTAATGTCGGTTTTTATTACAACAAAGCCAAAGCGGCATATATAAGGGAGATGCAATGTGTAATCTTGACAATTGAGATCTAGATTTAGGGTGGCAAGAGCGTAGCCAATTGGTTGTCGGACCTGTTCGATAATGATCTAAGTTCAAATTCCTCAGCCATATGTCGTAAATTTAGCAGAAAAAATGAAAGAAAATGCACGGCTGTATGGGATTGCTTGTTTTTCTTTGATACTCTAGAACTCCTTTGTTTGTGGTGCATGTATGTAACTAATCTCTTTCTTTGGAAATAACTACCAGGGAAAATGAACAGCTTTCCAAGTACGGTGACACGAAAACAGCTCGCAGCATTATGTTGATAGAGCTTAAGAAACTTATAGAAGCAAATCCCCTCTTTCGCGAAAAGCTTGTTTTTCCCGCTCTGAAGACATCAAGACTGCGGACTCTAATCAATCAAAGGTGAGACCGCGAGAGTGATATTCTTGGATGAAAAAACCTGGATTTCCCCCTTCTCTTTCCTCTCATAGGTGTTACAAACAGTAGTTTTGTGGTGCAAAGTGCAATGATGTTTGATTTAAAATCCAATATTTGACT